TTTGATATACCATATACTTTACCATTTTTACTATATATTTTACTATGTTTTTATATACTTTAAGAAAGCCTTTCTTTCGACCAAAAGAGGTAGTTTTCTCGTATATATGGATTTTAAGATCTTAATAGATTTAATCATTAAAACGATGCAAAAAGGAGCAAAACTAGTATTATCTATGATACAGCTACTTATTCAAGTCAAAGGAGCCAAGCCAAGCCATTATATCTTGAAGATAAAGCATATTCTCAAGTTGGACAGAACGTATATACCAGAAGTTCACTAATGAACGGAGAACCAAATCAACTTGAAATCTAATGAAAGTTGGTGGCAAGATAGCCCTTTGAGTTATCTTTCCAATGAAGTTTGAACGACACTAATTGGAGCTGTACTTTAGAAGATACACTGGAAACACGGAAGACATTTCAAACTGCCTTAGAAGTGAAGCATGTGCAGAAATGAGCCAAGCACCGGGCCGCTCCGTGGGACGATGATCCAGGCCATTACCAACCTTCTAGAAGCGTCATGGAAGCCTCAAATATCGGTCATGCAACCCGACCGATATTGTGATCGATGTTGCCTCAGTTTCGACGTACAAGACTCTTTTGCCCGAAGATAACCCTAGCCGACTTAGGACCTCTTAAGCCCCTATGTATACTTGCTTTTAGCCTCTCTAGGAAGTAAGAGCAGTCGGCCATAACAGCCAAAATCAATACCTAAACATTTATTTCGTTTATCTCTTGTTCTTAATGCATCTTTGATTCTAAAAGTCTTTGAGGGTAGTTCGACTTTGCCCTATTTCAAAAAGATGAGATCTAATCCCTTACGCTTTGTAGATCAACGATTTATACTATGTTTATTTACTTTACTCTTGCCACTCCTTGTTGGAAAACATGTAGAGTATTAGCCTTGGTTTGATTTCTATGCACCTTCTTTTTTCTATGTTATCACATAATTGAATGTTTAAGGTTTTATTCTAGAATTGATTCTTCATCTTTATTCACGATCAAAGCATGATCTGGCTTAGCTACCCAGTGACTGATATGAGGTTGATATACTCTCTAAAAACTTGTTATATCTCCGGACCTAGTATTTGATGAGCTAAGCGTCTTAACAATTCGATATGTTAGTTAAGGAGTTTAGTGAACAATCGAATCTTAAACTTTACGCGTGTCTTCACCTTGTAATAACCATACGATAGTTGAGTGAATTAGGGAAGAAGACATAGAAGTTTGATCCACAACAGTAGTATGATTTTACCTTAGTGATTTGAGTTCTAGAACAACTAGTATTAAAAACCCTAAATCGTTTGCTTG